TCACACCAGCCCAGTACATGACCTTACTAATGAGAGGATTTTATAGTGTTTTGTTGTTTTCATAATATGATGTAAAGGCCTGCAATGACACACGTATAGATACACACTGTGGGAGGATCGTGTGTCTAAAAAACTCCAAATGGCTCATACAAAAGAAAAGAAAATTCAGTTTCTGTGGTTTGGTAATAATTCCCCTAAAAGTTCCCATTCTTGCTGTTCTACCTGAGGAAAAACAGAAAGTTGCGTTAATAAAAATTACAAAAAAAGCCACTGAAAGAGATGGACAGAAAGCAGCTTGCTACAGTACAAATCTGAAACATGCACCTCTGTGTGTTTTGCTGCTACTTGACGAGTGAGCTCTGTGTGAACTACCGAACACATCACACAGCAGCACTTCTCTCCCGGGTTCTGACACCATGCAGAAATGCCTCAAAGCTCTGCCTCTGTGATTTACTGTACCAACTAAAATGTTTTAAAAATATGATGCTGTATCACTGCAGTTGACATAGTTCACATATACACAAACACTCCTATTTACGTAACTTTTGAAAACTTTAGGTATTACACACAAGGTCTGCCAAACTGGTCTGCTGATCTCTAAAGTGACGCTGTGGAAAGAAGGAAATATACAGTATCCCATTGTATGGGGTGGAAAGCAAAGTGGAACCTGGCTTCTCTTTCTGAAGCAATTTTTTGTTCTGGGAAGTAAGTAAATAAATAAATAAATAGACTGAAGCCTTTGGAGAGTGATCACTTAGAAGGGGGAAATCTACCCAACTGTAAAAGATTGATGGATATGCTTCATGAAGTGGTGTCTCCCAAGGTGATGACAGTGTTTAGCAGATAAAAGAGGACTAAAGAAACTTTCTAAAGCCAACTGAGGAAATTTGTTATTGCCATCCTCATGCAAAGCTCTGGCCTTTATTGCCACAAGATAATTCAAGGCCTCCAAGAACTGCAGGGCTATGTGAATACTTTGGACTAAAAATACGATCAAAGATGCAAAAAACATGTCCAAAGAGGGGTTTTTTTCCCCTGTTGAGCAAAAGAAGTTCGGCAGGAGATGACCACAGAACACGAACAGTTGTTGGCGACATATTAAAAACCACTGGCGAGGGAACAAGCACCGGCAGTTCCCACTTGTGAACAAAATCAAGCTGACAAGTGAAGGTGACTAACTTTGGACATCAGCTATTATTTTCTACAACTATTTTCTACTGGCAAGGCACTTGTGGCCTTACCAGTAAAACTGATGGGCTCCACTTTGTTTCTCATGTCGCTTTCCCCGGTGTGTAAACGCAAGAAAAGGAAAAAACGCAGCAGTTACATAAGTTGAGCAGAGAGTCGGGAACGTGCAGGGAGAGACAGCCATCTGTCTCGCTCCCTTTATGCTGTGTTATACACATGGCACTGGCTTGCACCCTGCAATCGAGCAGAGAAGGAAACAGAGGGAGCGCCGAGGCAGCCCAGTTCAGCCTCCCAGCAGAACCGAGACGGAGCTCTGAGCTGCAAGGGAGGAGGGAGAAAATAATGCGTTTAGCAGAGGATGCGAGACTGCCGACCAAAGGGCCTCTTACGCGCTCATCGCTGAATGAATTAAAGTTCCCGGGGAGGAGGCCGGGGGAAGCGGGGCGAGCGACACGAGAAGTGTGACAGGAGGGAAGGGGCCGGGAGCCGCCAGCCGAGGACAAGGCGGGCACATGCCGGCGTCCCTGAGGGGGCGCGGGGACCGGGGGCTCCGGGCCCGGCCCGGGGGTCGCTGCGGGGTCCCCGGCCGGGGCTGGGCTGCCCGGCCGGGCCCGGCCCCGCGCCCCCTCCCCCGGCTGCGGGCGGGCGGCGCGGCCCGGTAAGCGGCCTGGAGAGCGGCGCTGGGAGCGATGCCCAGGGCTCACCTTCCCCTCCCCCCGGAGAAGAGCGCTTCAAAATGGTTTTGCAGGCGAGGCTGGCCAGGCTGCGCTCGGTGCAGGGCTTCCAAGTGCAGTGCCTGGGTTGGTTTCCGTATATTCTTTGGCTTTTAATAGCTAGCTGAGGGAAAAAAAGAAAGCATTATTGTTTTCTTTCTTTCCTTCTCTCATTGCCTATTCTAAATTTGACTCCAAAGTTTAAGCGGTTGAATTGGCTAATTCTGAATACAGTCTATTGAGAGACCAGACACAGCAGTATATCCCTGTATAGCAATAGATACAATGTGCTGAATTGGCAGTCTAATTATAAATGTGGCATTTGGACCTCCTTTCAGACCCAGTGCCACCTTACCTTATGAGGGAACTTCAACTACAGCAACTGTTCAAAACAAAATGCCATTACAGGATCAGCTTCACCCAACACTGGAACCAGCCAGGGGATTGTTTTACAAACAGCCTTTCTCACTTAACACAAGAATGTATTATAAGGAAAAGTTATGGATAGTGCAGAGTCTGAAGAAAATGCGTATGTAGTTTCTGCCAGGTGTCGAGCTACTTCAAACTGCAGCATACTCCAAATGACCTCATTATTTTCTTTTAAATATACTCACTATAAATAATTATTCCTTAGTTTTACTAGAATGAGCTGCTAGGTACGCTTGCTGTTTATATTCCAAGCGTAGTGTGCATGTAACGTCATGAGCACAAAAACCCAAGAAATATCCTGGCTCAAAACTAAAACCTGCAATAAGATCTTGCCAAAGAATCATGGGGTGCTGAAAAAAAAGTTTTTTAAAGTGTCTTTTCCAGGGAAATATTTGTATATAATGGCAGGCTACATTCACATATCTCACATTCATTCTTATTATTTACTTTATGGTATTATAATGGCTTAATTAAATGAGTGGGCACAAGCACGTCAATAAAACAAGTCAAGTCAAGTTGAAGTCTCAAAACAGGTTTCAAGGTTGCTCCATTACACGAATACAGAAAGGGAAATTCGTTAATTTTTTTTGACTTCAAACTCTATTTGAGGACTGGATAGAACCGTTCTCCTGTCCTCATGATCAGCATTGAAGATGGAAATGGCAAAAAATGTTAAAGTGAGGTAAAAGAAAGCAGTAGGAACGAAGTGCCGCTCGCGTGCCTAAGGCTATTTAAATTTGCTTAATAAACATATACCTTATCTGCAAACAGCAGGCGAAGATATATTACTTTATCACAGAAAGTTTCACCTCTCTGTTTTTGGGAAACACCCCTAGGACAGCACTAATCTGCCGTCCTCAGGCTCCCACCGGACTGCCTTTCCCTGCGGCCCCCCCCTTCCCCCCACCCCGGCCACTCAGACACAACGCTAATTGTCCTTTCACGGTGCCACTTTCACTCCTTCCCGTCCTTTCACAAACAACAAAACCGCAGCAAACCCCACGGTGAGACGGCCCGCAGGAAGCGGAGACAGCGCTCGGCTGGACAGGAGTGGTGCCTGCGAGTGACCTCCGGGCCCTGGCCGCACGGCTCGGGCCGCGGCCGGTGCCGCCGGCCCGGGGACACGCTCTGGAGGCTCGCCACGCGTGGAACTACCTGCTCGCATAGCGCCTGTCTGCTCTCCCTCTCCCCTGTCTACACCCAGCCGCGACCCCGCCGCCGGTACACGCGTGCATGCATTACACGAGCGGGCAGCGCCGGTGCCCGCTCCTCCCCGGAGCAGGGCAAGCCGCAGAGGCACACTCATTAGCTCCCACTGATGATTCCTTTCAGGATCGTGAATGGAACAATTGTCAAAAACTGCGGGAAAAAAAAACAAGCCCCGAGACTATTATATACAGACACAGCTTGTGTGCGCACATGTGACAGTTGCAGGCAACCCCGATCTGGCCATAAACTCTTCAGCGTTACCCGAGATAAAACATCAAATTGCTTGTACGGTAAAAGAGGCTTCTTATTCCCAATCCAAAAAAATAAACAGCTTCGAAGGTAGTGAAACCCAGGAAAAGAACAAGCTCTCCACAAGACACACCTTGCCTCACTCGTATCCTGCAGCACCGCCTGTAAACAGCTGCGCTAGCTTGTTGCGACAGCCACTGTTTTATTTTAAAAGAAGAATAACAGTAATAATAGTAAGTGAAATACTTCCTGGAAAACTTACTTTGCATTTAGTTTAGGCACTATTCTTTTTTTCAGCTCGCAAAGGAAGCCGTTTTGTCCAGGTTAGGTATTGTCTACTTATGGATCAGCCTCTGGCTAAGGGTTTATTTTAATTTATGGCTTATGCATTCTTTTAAGGTCGATTTGCATGACCTCCGGCAAAGAGCTAAGGCAGCAAGAAATCCCAAGTCGACTGTTGCCACAAAGCGGCACGCATCTCCCCTTCCCCGGGTGTAAACAGAGCTCTCTGATGATGGACTGCCTTCTTCTCCCCTCCTTGTGTATTACGAATTAGGGCGCGATATCGATTTTAAAGTTTTCGGTATAACTTTATCCGAAGGCTCTGCTGGGAGAGATAAGGCGGCGGCGGAGCAGCGCGGCGGCTCCCAGGGACAGCGCCGCGCCGTGGCCGAGAGCCGCACGGCCGCCGCCGCTCCCGCAGCTTTGTGTGCTCCCCGCAGCCGTCCCCGGCCAACTTCAAAGCACTCACCCACCTCAAACTTAGCTCAGAACCCACAGGCACGACTAAACTCCCTTCGCCTTTCTCCATCCCGCGTCTCTCGGGGTTATCCGCCAGGAGAAACCCACGCGAGCACTTCGGAGCAATGACAGCAGCGCTCCGCTCCCAAAGATTTATTTCGGATTTTATTTTTCCTCTCTTTCTCTCTTTCTCCCTCTCGTGTTAGTTCCTTACGTACAATATCTTCCCGCACCATGTGTTCGCCTGCCGTGGGTGATCTTAAAATACAACGCTGATCTGTCACTACATTTTAAAATAAACTCTACTCGGGAAGGATGAGAAAGTGTTGTGATTCAAAGGTACTGGGGTCCCTTAACGTCTCGGAAACCTCGGGATTCAAACAGCCCCGGAAACTCGCACGGGGACGAGACTATAACTACTTTTCCCTAAAGAGAAGGTGTGGGGGGGGGGGGAAGGAATAAAAAAGAAACACAACACCCTCGTGATATAAAAGTAAATAATCGTGCACGGGGAGGCGGGGGAAGGGGTGAATTCAGCAATGTTAAAAGCTAAACAACAGATCTGTCTCCGGACGCTGCTACTTCACTCAATTGCAACTAATAACCCATTAAAGACAGCGCAGGGGGAACCGAATTCGCTCCTGCAAAGCGACATAAATCCAGCGAAAACCCATTAAACCACCGCCACCGCCACCAAGCCACGCAGTACTACACACCACAGCAAACAACAGGTATACAACACAATAGGGCTGGTTTTCCTGGTTACCTCCTCGGGATCCAGTGTGGCACAAAGCACTGGGAGAGCCTCCTTTTTTTTTTTTTTGCAACGCGCTTCGGTAATTTTCATTAAAAAAAAAAAAAAAAAAAAAAAAAAAAAAAAAAAGAAAAAAGAAAAAAGGAAAAAAAAAAGAGGGAAGGAGGTGAAGGGGGGGAGGGAGGGGAGAGGAATAAATGGGTAGTAGTTCGGTAAAATGAAATAAAATAAATGAACTAGAGTCTGCTGGTGTTTCTCCAGGCCATGGATGTGCAGGATCCCGATCGTTAGAAGTTTGCGGATGGGTTGCCTGGAGATTTGGTTACAATCAGGTTCATTTTTTTTTTTTTTTTTCCTCCTGAAACAAGTGAAGGCGATGGTTACTGCTGTCAATCTTGGCAATCAATGTGAGCGGCCATGTCGTAAGTATTCAAAGCATTTCCCGTCGTGCAACATCAGAAAGTGAGTGGCCAGGGCATTGATCTGAGGAAGGCAAAAGGAGGCAGGGCTCCCCCGCCCAGACAGCACAGGCAAGATGAGACAACACAGGGAGAGAGAGGAGGGAGAGGGGAAGGGAGGGAGAGACAGAGAGAGAGAGAGAGAGAGAGGCTGGGAGCGAGCGGGGAGAGCAACAACTGCGGAGAAAGTGAGCACAAAACAGAAAGTGAAATCGGCGCGGGCTGCCAGCAGCATCCCCGCGCAGCTATCACCACTCACAGGGCCATTAGACACATGAAACCCTACACCGCTCTGCTCCCGCTAATAACCACTGATTGCCCGGAGTGGTGAGGAAAGGTACTAGAAAGTTACCGGGGAGGGGGTGCGAGGGCGGGGCGGGGGCCGGAAAAGGAGGAGGGGGAGCGGGGGGGGCCCGGGGGGGCCGGTTCGCGGGGCGGGGGGGCCGTGTCACACGGGGCCGGCCCGCCCTCCGCCCGCTGCGCTGCCTGGGGACACACACGCCGGGAGAGTCCCGCCGGCTCACGGGATACCCCAGAAAAATAAAATTACAAGGGGGGAAAAAAAGCTGGAGAAAGACGATGTGCAGGAGGAGGGAAGAGCTGGCGGTGTGGGGAGGGAGCGGGGACGACGAGAGGGAAGCACTCTGCAAGCGCTTAGTGACAGCTGATAAATGGGTCTCTGAAGAGCCCGATCCCACAGCATGGCCGGGAGGCGAAAAACAAAAATTAAAAAATTAAAAATAAAATAAAAAAGGAGGGGAGAGATAAAATGGAAAGTATAAATTATACCAGAGATGAGAATCCAGCTACAGGAACCCGGGGGAGAGGAAGGGGAGAGAAGGCACTCAGAGTCCACAAACTATTTAGTGACTGATTCAGCGGAAAGGTGAAAAGTGAGTGCGGTGAAAAGGGAAAGACAGGTATGGCCAGAGAGGAAAAACTGATTTAGGACGGACTCGAGATGAAGCTGGGATTCTCGTGGCGACGACGAGAAATTTTAGCAGCGGCAATATATAAATATCCCTCTCTCTGCCTACCAAAAGGCAACAGATAAGGACTGGAATATCAGCTTGAATACCAATTTAGGAACTCACGCTCTCTTGGAAGTGCTAATTGGGGATGGGGAGTGGGGGGAAGGGGAGAGATCTGGGAGAAAGAAGGGAAAACTATAAGGAGCTGAGGAGAAAGCCAGTGGCAGAGTACTGCAAACCCAAGAAAGTCTCCCTACTGTATTTTTGCATTCCAAAGGTAAACATAAAAGAGTCTTTCAAACTGTCAGGGGCCCGCAGATCAGGTGGGCAAACAGCGCTGCAGAGAGAACGTCTCCCTCTTTTGATATTATTCACACCTAGGCTAAACTGTTGTTAAGATGGGAGTGCGGAAAGCAACCTCAAGCCCACAAAATGAGAGAGAGAGAGAGAAGTTGTTGATTCATCTCTGTATTTTTGGCACTTTCTCCCCATTTTCCAGAAGGCGCCTGGAACAGTTAGTAACAGACAAACTTTTTAATTTTAAAATAGATTCATAACTTATAGAGGCCAAAAAGACGAGGAGAGAGTCTGATTTTGCTTTCCTTCTCTGTGAAGTAGAAATTTGCAGACTAGGTTAGACCCCGAAGCACACTCAGCCCCACTGCAAATGAACCTGGCTTCAGCAAGACGTGATGAAAATTGAGCATTAACGCGATGGCACAGGACAGATATGACCTGGCTCTGTTTCATTTTGTTAACAAGCTGTAAAACTCGACACACTATTCGAGTCATGCACGTTGCATCCATCCTCTGCCTTTGCTATCCGAGGTGCTATCACCCCTCTCGAGCCGAGTTCAGGGCAAAGGAGTTGTAAGTCAGAACCTCTTGGAATAGTGGACCTGTTTTATACAATATTTTTGTCAATTCCACTACAATAGAAGGAATGATCAAGTCCTATTCAGCAAGGAGCAAGCACCTTGAAATATAACTTTATAATTACCTAGTAAAACTTTATCATCAAATTAGCTGGATGAGGGTATAGTAGCTAATTTCCATGCATTCTTTCAATTTTAGTAAAAGATACTAAAAAAGTGAAATTCAGAGATGAGGGGAAATTGTATGATTGTAAATACTGAGTTTGTATTCACCTGCATCCGGCCAATTCAAAGTATTCACCTTGCTGCAGTTACCCGGTGTATGGAATTAAATAGCTGCCTTTTGAGATACTGCTCTGTCTTTTTTAATCTTTAATTATAAGAATTCCCGTGATTGACCACTAACGCTTTCCTTGTAACACATTTGAACCTGCTGCAAATAAAGGAAATACCTTGACTTTTTGCACAACTAGTGTAGCTTTGGCGGGCAAGAAGATTTAAAAAGAAAAAACAATTAAAATGAGCTATGTAAGAAAAGAGATGTAAATCAGAATACAAGGACGAATAGTCTGCCTCAGTCTGCAGCTCTAGTGATTTGTTGCTGGAAGTTTTTTCTTCCAAGAAACAGAAAAGAAAAAAAAACCCAAGCACTCCTCAAACGTAGCGCCTTATTAAATACGAAGTGGGAATGGGACAAGAGATAATTAAGGCATCAGATAAATCTAACCGCCCACCTAGCTCCGAATCGGGGGAGCATCCCGCTGCACTCCCCAAATTCCAGTGCAGAGAATGACACTGGGTTGGGGCAGGACGCAGCAAGGATGCGGCCACGCTCCCATGCGGAGTGCAAGGAATGCTCTCCAGCTTGTTGCTTCCCCTGTGTGATCAATTAAGTTTCAGATGTAACTCACAGTGCCGGAGAGCGGCAACTTCTCCGCGGCAGGAGAAGTGGATTCCTTGGGCATTGTATGCAAATGTGTGCGTGTGTGTGTGCGCGTGTGTGTGTGCGTGTGTGTGTGTCCGCGCTGCACCGGGATAATTGTGATTCTCTCTTTGTTTGCATAAGTGAACACCCGCCGTGCGGATCCGTATACACGTGCCGAGAAACAAGAAAACGCTTTCCCTTGGAGTGTTACCCCACGTTTAGAAACCGCGTTTGGAATTACTGTCCTTGCTTTGGCTTCATGAAGGCTAAAGGCACGCAGATGTTGAACAGGGATGCTGACCTGCTGGGGGTCCCTGTGCAGGGAAGGGACCGCAGGCGCTCACATCACGTCGAGGCACTTACCTGTGCACAGCTGTCATGGCATTTTGCGCCCTGTGTGCCACTAAATGCGTTAAAGTAAAGCAATATTCAACAAGAGAGGCAAGCTGTCTGTGTGCTAAGTTGTACGTACCGCATCGTTAACCTGAGCAGCAAACCTGCAACTCCTGGAGAGTTGGCGGAACAGTCTCAGAAGTTTTGGATTCAAAGGGCAAGGAATTTCACTTTAAAAGTCATTCACCCACTTCTAAACTGCCCTCTCACCCCAGTTAATGCCGGACAATTAAGAGGCACGTTTATAAATTCCCTCTGCGGACACTGTCCGACAATGAAGGCTTGTTACAGGCTTGCTGAAGATGTTCAGAGAAACTTTTGCGAAATAATCAACAGCATCTGAGAGAAAGCTAAAGGGAAAGAAGTTAAAGCCTGATAATCCGATTGGGAAAAAGTTTTGTTAGACTAGCTAGAAGTAAATTACTGCACGTTTCTTCAAAAGCAAACCCATCAGCTGATACGAATTCCCCTAGAACAAGAACCTCTAGCGAACACCTCCAAATTCAGGGGACGTTTGCATTTTGTAACACCCAAAGCTCAAGATCTGCCTGAAAACAAAAACTCTGAATTCCTTACAGAGTCATCTGCCAACAAAATGTATTGTCTTGGCAGAAAGAGGATCAAGGAGATTTTAATTTCATTTTAAACTGTGCATCATCTTGATAGCGAAGGAAAAAGCCGCAGCAACAATATCCCCGCTCCACGCCCCCGCCGTTCAAAAAAAAAAAAAAAAGGGGGGGGGGGGAAGAGAGAACTGGAAAAACCACATAAACTTTTATAAAGAAAATAAAAGCAACTTCGACATGAAAACCCCTTCCTGTCTCGGAAAGTTCATTTTAAAGGTCCCCTCTGTAAATCTAAAGTGCAAACACCAGGCTAAGGTAGTGAGTGGCTGGAATTTGCATGCTGATAAGAGAAGGCTGTTGTACTTACAGTGACAGAGGGCAGGCTGCGGAAGAAAAGCTGTTTGTGTTAGCCTGAGAGTCACCCAGGGCTGCAATGAGAGGAGAAGAGAGGAGTGGGAGTGCCAAGCTGGATACACCTTCACCGCATCTCATCACATCTGCCAGCCTCTCTCTCCCTCTCTCTTTCATTTCCACATTCCCTTTGTTCCTGAAAAAAAAATCTACACGTCACATCAGTCCCCAGATGCAGACTACACCAAAGAAAAAAAATGAATAATTCAATCAAACTGTGCATAGTCTCTAAGGCAATAAATCTATTGCACTTAAAGAAACGAAGGGTAATTACCGCTATAGAATTAGAATAAGGCCAGAGCGCGCAGGGATCCCAGGGTCTGTAAACTCCACGGTCAAATAAAGTTTCATTTATTTAATCCTTTGACAACCCCAATGTAAACTAAAGGGGAAGATCAGAACTTATTCCGGTTGGGTTTGAGAATGCTTGAAGTGAATGTTATAAAAGGAGAGCGCCCGTGGTCTGTGACAAACACAATGCAAGGGAGTAGAAGTGCTTCACTGCATCACCTCCAGGGTCCTTTCCCCCCTCCCTAATGAAGAGTAGACCACACTCCCACTTCCACCGGCTCCTGCTGCTCGCTGCAAGTGCAGCGGGGATCGCTGGCAGCCAGCAGCCGCCTTACCTGCTCCCGAGCGCCAGCAAAGCCTGACAAAAACTCAGGGGAACCGGCAATTTTGTTCTACGCTCTGGCGGAGAGAAGCCTCGGGGGATTTACACCGGCAAGGATTGCCTCGGAACGGTGCCCCTGACTCGCGGGTGTGTGCCGGGCTGAGGCGGGGGACTGCCCGCCGGGGGCGGGGGGAGCCCAGCGGGAGCGGAGCCCGGCGGGGCGGGCGCGGCGGCGCTGCCGGAGCGCGGTGACGGACCGGCCGGGGCGGGAGGCGCGAGCCGCGCTGCTCCCGCTCCTGCCTCGCAGGCTGCTCCCTCGGCTCGGAGGTAAGATGATTCTACATTGTGTTTATTCCCCCACGGGTAGCCCGGGTACCGGGGGCGCGCTGCTGTGCTGACGAGGGCGGCTCGGGGCTGTGGCTCAGCTCCCTGTGCCCGAACCGAGCCGGAGCTTAACATCGGCGTTTGCTGCTTTACACTCTCCATCGCATTCTTTGCAAACTTCTCCTGGGGGGACTGGGGGAGGAGTGAGGCGGCGAGGGGGAGGGGGAAACTAACCCCAGGTGAGACCGCGCTCTTCAGATGCCGCAGACCCTCGCTCCGATACCGCCGGGCTTTGGGCCGACCGGGGAGGCTGAAACACCTTGCGCCGGCGCGGAGCATCGTGCACCTCCCGTCCCTGCGCCGCTGTAGCAGCGGTTTGATTTACCCGAGACGCTACCGGGACTGTTATTCCAGCGCGGGCAGAGCGGAGCGCGCTCCCGGCCGCCCGCCCCGGGCCCATCCGTGTGCTTACCGCGCCACCGTGAGGCAGGCGCGGACCCCGCACCGAGCGCCCGCCGCGCTCCGGGGCAGCCGAACGCGCCGCGGCCGCGGGCACCCAGCGCAGGGCGGACGAGAGGGCTGGCCTCCGCCGCGGACAGTCCGCAGCGCCCAGGGCTCCGGGACAGCGCACGCCGCTGCCTCCCGTCCGCTCTCACGGGCCGGAGAAAGAGGGGAACAATTTAGGGAGAATTGAGGGAGATGGGAGTGCACAAAGCGAAAGCACCCCGCCGGTGTTTTCCTTAAACCCCTGCCCCGAGACTTTCTCCCTCCTTCCCCTTTCTCGCCGTCGCTGGGCGCTCCTCAGAGGACTAGGGAGAGTAGGGCAGAGTGCATCCCTGGCCGCTCCTCCCGCCGGCACCGCTCCCTGTAAATCCTCTCCGACCCCCCTGCTAGAAGGCAGCGTCCCCCTCGTAGCGTGTGCCAGGGAGCGCTGCTGGCTCCTCTGCCCGTTCTCTTTCCACCTCCTCCCCGGTCAAAATCAGGCCAGTTGCCCTGCCCGGGCATTCCTGGAAGATTTTCCTTCTCAAGTATTTCAGTTGATTTCAAGTTTGAGGCTGGGGTTTTGGTTGGTTATATTTATATTAATGGAAAGGGAATGGGAACAAAAAAAAAAAGAAGGAAGACTAGGCTGTCACCACCCATGGATAGTACCTGGGGTGACACTGCTAAAAGTTGTGGACAAGACTCAGCACAATGAGTTTCTTAGGTACGCTCCAGGCACACAAAAACTGTGGAAATGGATCTACTGTAGGAGACAGATCTTCTTCTATAGGGGCAAAACACATCACTTACCTCTCACGAAAAGCTTTAACCCAGAAGGGAGTTCCTCTTAGGAGACTTTCAGCAGCTGGTGGAAATCATCCCAGCTACTGGAAAGCATCCATCGTGTCAGGGCATCCTGGCACCCAGAAAAGCACTGACTGCACCGGCAAGGTTGAAGTCCCTTAACTCCTACCTCCTAGGTGCACTAGCAGAGTAAACTCCACACATGAACCATGAGAATTCTAATAGCAAGCTCCAAAAAATGGCAATTACATCCAGCTGTGATTAGGAATCACCTTAAGATTGGATACCTGATGCTTTTCATGCATAGAATGAAAGTAGAAAAACAGTAGCGTGACGGTGGAAGGTGCAGATATTTCCACTGAAATGCACCTGCTCTTCCTAATTGGGGAATTTCACTTAACAGCTGGATTTGCCTGTTTGTCATCTTAATCATTTTTCAAGTCCCATCTCTGTACAACAGGATGACCGTAAAACACGGCTAACATGCAGAAATGCAGCTCAAGATTAACAGTGATTTTAAACCTACATCAGATAAATGAAAAATACCAACATGCACCTTTTCTAAACATCCCTTTGCAGAAGCAACCCAAAGCCATGCCAGAGATGTTTAAAGCAATCATCATGCTCATACTAAAGCATCTCTTCCTTGACCATGCACCTGTGTAGCCTCACATATTATACCAATTTTCCCAGCTTCAGCTGGGAATAGCAGAGCTTGTTTTGAGAATGAAGGACAGGAGGATCTGTGTCAGGTAGAGCTATACCCACAGACACATTTGAGGGGCTGGGAGGGGACTCATGCTACAGAACCCCCTTACAGCCCACAGCAGCTCTATTTTATATTCCAGCCCACAGTAAGCTCTAGGTCAGTGGTGTTAACATGAAAGTTGCTCTGGATCTTCCCCTAGAGTCTCAGTGACAGAAAAGCCCCTGCTAAAACATGATGACTGCAAACCCCTATCAGCACATCACGCTGCTCTTGTTTCCTCATTGGCAATGTCCCATTCTGACAGCACATGCTGGAATTCAACAGAGCACATATAGGCTTTCTATTGTAACACTGCAAATATTCCGTCAGATTATTTTTCTTTCATACACCCACCCTCCTCAAATAAAAAATAACCCCACCAACAAAGAACAATTTTCAAAGTTCCTGACCAAACTATTGTGCTACAAACATATACTGAGTGAAAAATAATACAAGCAAACAAACAAAAAGACCCAAATAAAACAAAAAACAAAACAAAAAAAACCCAAAAAACAAAAAAAAAACCACCCAAAAAACGACCCTGAAGGTTAGAATAAATAAAAAAAGTTGTCTTTGACCTGAAGACTGGCCCACACTGCAGATAAATGTATTACTACTTAGCCACATACACATGCCACATGAACAGAAATAAAAGGAATCCTCAAGATAGGGCAATGATTTTGTATTTTATATTACTAACACTGTGCAGTTATAAATTGCATTGGTTTCAAGATGTGCTTTTGGGTTTGTCACAATATGGCCTAATCTTGTAGGCTCCTGTCACTGCCAGTTGTTTCATTCAGAAGCTCAAGTCCTATGCATGTGAAGTGCATGCTTCTTATGAAGAGATTCAAAATTATGATGCTAGAAATTAACAGTTTAGAAAATACCAAGACAAGAGGTTAAAATGTGAACAAAGATATTTTGGGGTACAGAGTTGTTTCAAACTGTCCAATTTTATTTGCAGTTTGTAAATATCATGGCATATCCCATGCCATGTCCTCCCTCCTCTCCTCTTCGGGCACTTCACATTTTCTTACCCAAATACACAGTAGTAACTTCTTGCAACAAAGTTGACTAAGGAGCAAGTCACTGTATAAATCTTTCAAATCATGTTTAAATATAGCTTAGTAAACCGGGAATGTTGGGCAGAAACTGCTGAAAGCATTCATACTGGTAAAACCGAAATGCGACATGATCTCAACGTATTCGAACATTCAATTAAATGAAACGTTTTTCCAGTGTAATATCAGATTAAGACTCAAGTGAAATAAATGTGATTTGACTGTTTTGGAGTCTTCCTAAGACAAATGACTGAAAGATCAAGGTGTTTTATTTCCTATTTGGATCAATGATCAATAAGCCTTATACATGGGAATCACGTATTTTGAATAGAAAACACACTTTTTTAATAAGTGCAAGTTAGACAGAATAAAATTACTATGTTTGGAGAGTAAAGCTCACTATTTTTTAAGTCATTGCAATCTATATAATTATGAAGTAATATGAATAAGGCATCTTACATTGGTACTGAATTTTTTACTCAAGTAAAACACTCATTGATTCCAATGTGAGTGTTGCCTGAGTAATAGAGTTCCCTGTCAAACTTAAAATCAGCTAACTTCTAAAAGCCTGTAGATTGATGGAATAATGTGATTATACTAAAGGTATGTATTTAATATGGAAAAAAAATTCAAGTTACCAGGCAAAGCCTTTTCACATTTCACATTTACAATAAAACAAGTAGTAATATAAGTAAATATTTTGGGGGGATTTATAACTCTGTGCCTAGTCATG